CTGTCCCTCAGCTCTTCAGCTCAAGGCTAGTACTCTACCACTTTAGCCACAGCGCCACTTCTGGCTTTTTTCTTTTTGCTTATGTGGTGCTGAGGAATTGAACCCAGGGCCTCATGCATGCAAGGGAAGTGCTCTACCACTGAGCCACCTTCCCAGCCCTGAGCCCAGGAATTTGAACCTGGTCAACATAGTGAGACACTGCCTCAAGAATTTTTTTAATTAAAAAACATTGTTGTATTAATCTATTTGTATATTTTTGAGTACTTATACTAGTTCATGGTTTGATTTTTACCTAATGTGATCAGTACAGCCTTATTTTTTTTAGTTAGAAAGACTTTTTTTTTTTTTGGTCCGTCATGGTGCTTGAACTCTGGACTTAGGCGCTGTCCCTCAGCTCTTCAACTCAAGGTAAGCGCTCTACCACTTGAGCCATAGTGCCACTTGCAGTTTTTTTTCTAGTGGTTTATTGGAGTTTAGAGTCTCATGGAGTTTCCTGCCTGGGCTGGCTTTGAACCGCGATCCTCAGATCTCAACCTCCTGAGTAGCTAGGATTACAGGCGTGAGCCACCAGCACCCGGCTTAGAAAGACATTTTTGATGGTTTCATATATTTATTTCTCTAAATATGATTGAAAGTTAAACAAACAAACAAAAAATACCAAGCCATGTGTTAGAGTTGAAGGAATTCTGACTTCAAATCAGATCTAGATTTAAATTTTACCTCTTCCATGTATCACATGTGTCACATTGGGCAACATATTTAATTTCTTTGAGTCTATTTGCTCATATGTGTTGTAAGAACTACTTTAGGGTTATTTTAAGAGTTAAATAAAGTGCATATACATTATCTTATGTTTCCTTTTTTTTTTTTTTTTTTTTTGCGACAGAGCCTTGTTATGTTTCCTACACTGGCCTTCAGTTCTCAATCCTCCTCCCTCAGCCTTCCAAAGTATTTGGCTATAGGAATGTGCCACCCTGCCAGGCTTAAAACATCTTTATATGCATCTAGCAAGTAATAAGCACTCATCTTTTCTGCTTTTTTACTTATATTGTCATTTACTTTTGACAGATGATGTCAGTTCATACAGACTGTATTGTATCAGTGCAGATTTTAAGTACATTAATGGAAATAACAATTAGAAATGGTAAGTACCTAAACTGACAGTAAATTGTAATATGTGTTATTGGTTGTTGTTAAATGCTTAATTTCATATTCTAAAATTAGGAGAAATTACTTTTGTAATCAAATATCTTTAAATATGAAACAAAATGTGCTACTCAGAAATGAAATGTGCTACTTAGAAATGTGTATCTACATTTCTCCAGTTGCAATGGGGAAAAGGGTATAAGATCTTAAAAATGGCAACACTTCCCTAATGTTCACCAAATCATGACTGACTTTGTATATTAAATGGAAATAGTTGTCAGTTTATTCATGTATAAATTCAGCTAATTTATTTAATTGGCTTATGAGTAAGCAATATTATTTGATAATGCACTTAGGCAGACTGAAAGCATATAAAATTATGAAAGGGCTGGGAAAGTGGCTTAGTGGTAGAGTGCTTCCCTTACATGTCTGAGGCCCTGGGTTCGATTCCTCAGCACCACATAAACAAAAAAAGCCAGAAGTAGCTCTGTGGCTCAAGTGGTAGAGCACTAGCCTTGAGCTGAAGATCTGAGGGACAGTGCCTAGGCCCAGAATTCAAGCCCCACGGCCACACACACAAAAAAAAGTATGAGCTGCTTTCTTATCTTTGAGAGCTACAGCATGTGGTTTACCTAATCACTTGTTTAAGGATTTACAACTGTAAAGGTACTAAAGATGACAAAAATCTTCCTGTGTTAACTGTAAGTTAGAATTTCTGTCATTTCTAGTTATTTCAAAATGTATTACTTCTTTCTTTTTACATTCTATTGTCTATCACTTAGGTATTTTCGTATATTTTTTTTCATTAACGATACTTTTAGTATTGTCAGTTCTGCAGAATCATTGTAATAATAACAAAGTTGGGCATGGTAATGAATGCTTGTTATCTCAGCATTTGGAAGGTCTGAAGCAGGAAGATCTCAAGTTCAAAGCCAGTTTGGGTCCTGTCTTTTAAAAAAATCTGTAGTAATCTGTTTTACATGCAGATTATTTGCAAATGAGTTTGTAAACCAGTGAAATAAAGGATTTTCTTCTTTTAATCAGATACTTTCAGTGACTCACCAATTTGGCCCTGGATTCCATCCTTGTCTGACATAGCAGCTGTGTTTTTCAATATGGGAATTGACTTTAGATCTTTATTTCCTTTGGAGAATCTTCAGCCAGACTTTAATGAAGACTATCTAATGTAAGTTTTCTTTTCATTGTTAACACCAATGTAACAGTAAGTTTTCTTTTCATTGTTAACACCAATGTTAACAATGTTAGCATCATTTTAAACAACTTACACAATATAACAGTAAATATTCACTTAATGAATTCTATATTCCGTATTTTTTTAAGTGAAAGTTAGGTCAATTTTAAGTTGATATTAACCTAAAAGTTATTGATATATTTAGCTGGAAAATAAGAGATATTCCCATGAAAAGTTTTTTTTTTAAGAAAGACTTCTTATTGTTATTTGATACTGTTTTGCAAATATTGGTCAAAGAAAATTAGATAAGAGAAAAAAGTGAGATGTAAAAATTGAGAAAGAGGGGGCTGGGAAGGTAGCTCAGTTAGTAAGTGCTTGCCTTGCTTGCATGAGGCCCTGGATTCAATTCCTCAGAACCACATAAGCACAAAAGGCCCGAAGTGGTGCTGTGGCTCAAGTGGTAGAGTGTTAGCCTTGAACTGAAAAGCTCAGGGACAGCGCCCAGGCCCAGAGTGCAGGTCCTACGACCAAAAAAAAAAAATATTGATAAAGAGTTGGTAAAAGATGATTTGATAAGTAATTTAATCTATACATCAGAGCCTGTAGATCAGTTAAATAAGCAAGCATTTCTGTTTACTTAATAAAGAGAAACAAGTAACCTTCATATTGTAAGATACACTGAAAAAAGAGACATCAGTGGCAGTAAAGGAAAAGGAAAATAACTAAAAGTAAAGTAATTAGAAACATGTATATGAAACATTAGTGAAGAACCTAAATAAATGGAAAGCCTATATCATGCTTTCATATACGAAAATTCAGGGGTTGGGGTATGGCTTAGGTGGTAGAAAGCATCATATGTAATGAGATCTTAATAATGTCAACAGGATTTTAGGGGTGCAGAACAGTTTGAGACAATACAACTGATTTTAACACCATATGGAAAAATAATATTCATGAAAGTTACATGTCATGACTCCCCTTCAGGCAACTTGAAAATAGTATGGTACAAGCTGGGCGCCTGTGGCTCATGCCTTTAATCCTAGCTACTCAGGAGGCTAAGATCTGAGGATCATGGTTCAGAGCCAGCCCAGGCAGAAAAGTCTGTGAGTCTCTGATCTCCAATAAAGCACTATGAAACTGGAGATAGCGCTGTGGCTCAAGAGGTAGAGCACTAGCCATGAGCTGAAGAGCGCAGGGACAGTGCCCTGGCCCAGAGTTCAAGCCCCATGATCGACAAAAAGAAAAATAATAATATGGTACAAATAGGAGGACACAAAGTTCCACCAGAATAACAAAGTGTGAGGTCCAAATATGATTTAGTATATGCTAAATGTCACATTCAAAAAATGAAGCAGGAGCTAGGTGCTGGTGGGTCACACCTATAATCCTAACTATTCAAGAGCCTGAGATCTGAGGATTGAAGTTCAAAGCCAGCCCGGGCAGGAAAGTCTGTGAGACTCTTATCTCCAATTAACTACCAGAAAACTGGAAGTGATGCTGTGGCTCAAGTGGTAGAGCGCTCACCTTGAGTTGAAGAGCTGAGGGACAGCACCCAGGCCTAGAGTTCAAGCCCCATGACCAATCAAAAAAAACAAAAACAAAAAAATGCAGGGCACTGGTGGCTCACACCTGTAATCCTAGCTATTCAAAATGATGAGATCTAGCTATTCAAAATGATGAAATCTAAGGTTTTGGCATGTAGAAGCCAGTGAAGGCAGCAAAGCCCAAGAGACTCTTAGACTCTTATCTCCAAATAACTACCAAAAAAGCAGGAAGTGGAGCTGTAGGTCAAGTGGTAGAGGGCAGGCCTTGAGCACAAAAGCTCTGGGACAGTATCCAGGCCCTGGAGTTCAATCCACCAAAAAAAAAAAAAAAAGGATGGGGGGGAGTAAGCTGTTCAGTATCTGGTTTTACCTAGAATCTGGAAAGCCAGTCAGTGACCTGGGGGGAAAACTGAACTTATTGAACTTATACTTCAGATTTATAATTCAAAGATATAAATAAATATACACAATAAAAACATTAAAAAGTAAGCCCAGCACGGGTGGTTCATACCTGTAATCCTAGCTACTTAGGAGGCTGAGATCTAAAAAAATCTGTGGTTCCTGGTTTGAAGCCAGACCATGCAGGAAAGTCCATGAGAAACTTAACTCCAGTGAACCACTAGAAAACTGGAAGTAGTGGGCTCAAAGTGGTAGAGCACTAGCCTTGAGTGAAAAAGCTCAGACCCTGAGTTCAAGCCCAATGACTCACTAAAAAGCAGAAAGCATGTCAAGTATTACCTGGTATGAGGGCATTCTGGACACAGGCAAAGAAGGATTGCTAGTTATAGAGGTCAGCCTGTTCTATATAGTGAGACCTAGTCTAGAAAAGCTAAGAGTAGAGCATTTCTATAATCCCAGCTTTTCAGGAGGCAAAGATTGAGAGAATAGCATTTCCATGCCAGCCCAGCAAAAAGCAAGAACATATCTCATGATCCCATTTTAGGCATGGGTGGAAGGATTAGCATCTAGGGCTAGCCCCAGGCAAAGAGCACAGCTCTGACTTGGAAAATAAGGAAAGTAAAGTGTGGCTCAGGTGGTTGAGTGCTTACCTGCTATGTGTATGACTGAGTTCTACCTCCAGCGTCAATAAAACAAATTAAGTGAAAATAATAGAATCTGGCCATGGATTTGAGGTTTTTATTCATTATAGAGACCGTGTATGGTAGTGAAATAAATACAACATACAAAATTTATTACACTAGTGTTGATTAACTAGATTTCTACCTTCTATGTGTATCCTTAAGTTACAACTCTTTAATCACAGGTTGGTTATGCTGGCCTTCTGTAGTCACTTCATTAGCAAGAATCAGGTATGATTGAAGTTGATTTACAATGAATAACAAAAGAGTTTCAGGAGGCCAGGTGCTGTTGCCTCATGCTTGTAATCCTAGCTACTCTGGAAGCTGAAATCTGAGGATCAAGGTTTAGTGTCACCCCAAAGCAGACAAAGCTTCACCACTCTTGTCTCCAACAAAAGGCCAGACCTGGAGTTGTAGCTCAAGTAGTAAAGCACCAACCATGAGCAAAAACACCAACAAGTGTGTGAGGCTCTGCATTTAAGTCTCAGTAACCAGCACCAAAAAAGCTTCTGAGAAGAAAGATCAAATTATTTTTTACACTACAAGTGGTAATATATTCACATTTATTTATATATAAAATACTGTCAGAAGAAAGGATTAAAACTAGTGGCTAATTGTGGGAAGAGGAAATGGGTAGGAAGCTAGGTGAGAGGACATCTCTTCATCGCATATTGTACCTCAATACGGTTGTTGTTGTTGTTGTTGTTGTATTTTAACCTAACAATGTAAATGTACTGTTGAGTAAAAAAAAAATTAACAAAACCAGCTATGCTTTGAAAGCCGATTTTATGCCTCTCCCTGTCTCTGAGCGCCTTTAATTGTTAAATCTCTTCCATGGCTACTGACAACCTGAACTCAAACTAGAATGCTTAGAATTATTTGTTTAGGGGCTGGGAAGGTAGCTCAGCAGTAGAGCGCTTGCCTTGCAAGCATGAGGCCCTGGGTTCGATTCCTCAGCACCACGTAAACAGAAAAAGCCGGAAGTGGCGCTGTGGCTCCAGTGGTAGAGCGCTAGCCTTGAGCTAAAGAGCTGAGGGACAGCGCCCAGGCCCAGAGTTCAGGCCCCATGACTGGCAAAAAAAAAAAAGAATTATTTGTTTATATCGTTATAGAAGGTTTTGTTTTGTTTTTCCATGCCTCGGGCTGGGCCTGCATGCTGTCCCTGAGCTTTTTTGTTCAAGGATAGTGTTCTTCCACTTGAACCACAGCTCTGCTTCTGACTTTTGGAGATAAGAGTCTCACAGACTTTCCTGCCTAGGCTGGCTTTGAACCAAGAGCCTAAGATCTCAGCCTCCTGAGTTGCTATGATTGCAGGTGTGTGCCAGTGGCACCTGGCTTGCTATGGAAATTTTTACAGGCCATTTACGAGGTTGTGAGTTCTTTGTCATCAGAGTCACTTCCTCCATAGCTTTTTGCCACTAAGAGCATTGAGGATAATATGAAATAGCTAGTTCAAAGGAAAGCTAATGCATAGAAATAGAAATCAATCATACTGATAGTTACTTCCACTTGGAGGTAGCAAATTGACTTGGATCTGGTATGATGGGTCTCGGGTTGATGGAAATGATCTGTTTCTTGTTTTGGATGATAGTTACAGTAATATATGCTTATCAAACAATTTAAATGGGGGCTGGAGTGTTGCTTAGGAGTAGAGAGATTGCCTAGTATGCATGAAACCCTGGGTTTGATTCCTCAGTGCCACATACACAGAAAAAGCCGGAAGTGGTGCTGTGCTCAAGTGGTAGACCACTACTAGCCTTGAGTGAAAAAGCTCAGGGACTCAAGCCCCAGAACTGACAAAAAAGAAAAAAGAAAAGAAATTTAAATGGGTACACATTCCTTTTGTTGTATATAAAATTGTCAGTGGGGTATAGTTTTAAAAAAGTAATTGTTTTATGGAATTGTAACCCCTTTGCACAACAACAAAATGATGATAATAAGTAATGATAATAATATGTAAAAAAATAAGATAATAATAAGGTAGACATAGTGGTGGAACCTATAATAACAGCTTACGCTGGAGTCTAAGGCAGGATTTCAAGTTTGAGTCCAGCCTGGGCAACATGAGATCCCATCTAAAGAAAGAAAAAGACAAAAAAGTATTTGTTGAAGTGTTTCTTATAATAAATAATTTTATATTGCTTTATTCCTTACTAGTTCTGAAATATTGACACCATTGGGGGGAAAAGGAAGTAAAGAAGATTCATCTTGTAAGCCAATATTTTCAACTCTTCCTGAAACCAACATTTTAAATGTAGTTAAGGTAGGAAAAAGCTATTTTGTATGTCTTTAGCAAAGAGCTAGAGCCATTTCAGTTTTGTAGTTTTTTTTTAATCTACTAGCTTCATACCAAGTGATTATAATTTTGAAATGAGTAATTTTTTAGTTAGAATATATGAAAAAAAGAAGCATTACTTATAATTTAGTGATTAAGAAGAACAATGTGAAAACATTTTTAATGATAGAAGCAAATAAGTGATTCTTCTGAACCATTAAAAATATATTGAACCAGGAGCATGGGTCAAGTCATAAGTCCCTGAGTTCAATCCCTAGTACCAGGAAAGACATAACTATATGGGTGGGTGGGTAGGTGTGTGTGTGTATGAGAGAGAGAGAGAGAATTAAAAAGAGAGAATATAAAGAGAGAAAGCATATAGAAATACATGTGTAGCTGGGTGCCGTTGGCTCACACTTGAAATTCTAAATACTTGGAAGGCTGAGATCTAAGGATCCTGGTTTGAAGCCAGCCAAAAGCAGGAAAGACTCTTAGCTCCAATTAACTACCAAAAAGCCCAAAGGAGAGCTGTGGCTCTAGTGGTAGAATGCTACCTTTGAGCAAAAAAAGCTCAGAGATAGCACTCAGGCTATGAGTTCAAGCCCCAGGACCAGCACATACACACACAAAAAGTGTGTGTGTATACATTCACAGACACATATACATATATCTAAATCAAACAAATATGTATATTTATATACACACTTTTATTTATATTTATTAAAATCTTGTTGGGCTAAAATTCTAGCAACTTGAAAAGTAGAGATCAGAAAAATTGCAGTTCAAGACCAGCCTAGGCAAAAAAAAAAAAAACAACTTTGAGCACCTCTTTTCCTCTATCTAAATCAATAAAAAATGATAAACATGGTGATATCAGCCTATCATATCAACTACACAGGCAGTGTAAATAGGAGGATTACTGTTCAGGCCAGCCCTTGGAATAACTATTTGAAAAATAGTTAAACTTTTTAAGCTGTGGGTAGAACTCAAGTAATGGAACAGTTGTGTGGCAAGCACATTGGTCCTTAGTTCAAAATCAGTATGGCCAAAATGGAAAACCTTGAAAATGGGGGGAAAAAAACTAATACTTGTCCCTCCATTCTACCATTAGCATTAATCTTTCTGGCCACCTTTTCCTAGACATGTTATTTGTTACCTGTCTAGTTTTCTTTTGTGTCTTATCAAAAAAAAATTGTAACTGTTCAGGTAAAATATATTTTCTTTAAGTTACTTTGTGTGTTTGTGTCAAAAGTTTCTAGGCTTGTGTACATCTATACATCCAGAAGGTTACCAAGATCGGGAAATAATGTTGCTGATTTTAATGTTGTTTAAAATGAGTTTGGAAAAACAGCTGACACAGATTCCTCTAGTAGACTTTCAGAGCCTCCTGATAAACCTGATGAAAAATATCAGAGATTGGAACACAAAGGTAACATTACTAAAATTACATTACATCAGTATTGTCTTTTTGTAAATCATTAAAATTTGACTCCTGCAGTACATGTAGAAATTGTATTTAATGGGGTTGGAGGTATGGCTCAGTTGGTAGAACACCAGCCAATGAGCAAAAGCATCAGTTTGAGTTCCCATCTCAGACCAAAAAAAAAAATAAGGTATATTTAAGTTCAGCTAAGATCTTTGGAAGATAAAAAGAGAACTTGGGGAAATATTGGGGGCAGGAGGAGTTTGTTTGGTGCCAATTCTGGGCCTTGAATTCAGGGCCCTGGGTGCTGTCCCTGAGATGTTTTTTTTTTTTTTTTTGCTCAAGGCTGAGCTGTGCTACTTGAACCACAACTCCACATCTGGCTTTTTGGTGGTTAATTGGAGATAGGAGTCTCATAGACATTCCTGCCTAGTCTAATGCTCATATTTCAGTCTCCTGAGTGGGATTACAGACATGAGCCATCTGTACCTCGTGGTATTGTAATTTTTTTAATAATTGTTTTGTTTTGTCGGTCGTGGAGCTTGAACTCTGGGCTTGGGCGCTGTCGCTGCACTCTTCAGCTCAAGGCCAGCGCTCTACTGCTTGAGCCAAGCTCCATTTCTGGTTTTCTAGAGGTTTATTGGAGATAAGAGTCTCACCGAGTTTCTTGCCCAGGCTGGCTTTGAACTGAGATCCTCAGATCTCAGCCTCCTGAGTAGCTAGGATTACAGGCATGAGCCACCAGCACCCAGCTTCAATAATTTTTGATACCAGTCTTTTCTAAGGTTACAGGTAATCCACAAAGTGGAAATTAATGAACTAAGAGGGTTATTCATTTATAGTAAATAACATTATGGATATACTGTCAATTAAGTATTCATGTAAGTGCTAGAGATTCAACTGTGAAAAGGACTGTGTCCTTGCCCTCATGTGGCTTTCATCCTACTTAGGTGATAAGTAGATGGAGATTTTAGTAACATATCAAGTGTGATTAGGTGCAACATCGAAAAGTAAAGTAGGACAAGCTAGGCACCGTTGATTTGCACCTGTAATCCTAGCTACTCAGGAGCTTGAGATCTGAAGATCTTGGTTCAAAGTCAGCCCTGTCAGGAATGTCTGTGAGACTCTTTATCTCCAATTAACCACCAGAAAACTGGAAGTGGTGCTGTGGCTCAAGTGGTAGAGTACTCACCTTGAGCTGAAGGGACAGCGTCTAAGCCCAGAGTTTAAGCTCCACAACTGACAACAAAAAAAAAGTAAAGTAGGACATGGGAAGAGAAAGTAGTAAGGCAAGAATGCCATGTTATTTCATACGAAAAAACCTTTCTGAAGTTGTATCTAAGTAGACACTTAAATGAAGTGATAATATGAGTCATATCTACAGCCAGAATATGAGTTGTACTTCCATAGCCATATGGAGAGTAAACATGTATAGTTTTTATTAGGCCTTTTAAAAGATTCTATTATTTTTAATGGAAAGTTTAAAACATACACAGAAGTATGGAGGAGTATGAGAAACCCTTAGGAACTGTCACCTAGCTTCAAATGTTTTCCAGTCATAATCCTCTTGTTGATTTCATCCCTATATTTCCTTCCTCTATTTTATCAGATTTTATTTTTTGGCGGGGGGGAGGGTTATGTGTGTGTGTGTGTATGTCAGTCTTGGGACTTGACCTCAGAGCAGGGCCTTGAAATCAGGGCCTGGGTGCTGTTAATAAGCTTTTGTGCTCAAGGATAGCACCACTTTGAGCTACAACTCCAGTTCCAGCCTTTTAGTAGTTAAGAGATAGGAGTCTCACTGAATTTCCTGTCCAAGCTGCCTTTGAACCACATCCTCAAATCTTAGCCTCCTGTTTACAAGCATGAGCTACCAGGGCCTGGCATCATCAGATTATTTTGGAACCCCACTGCTAGACTTTTAAAATACTGGAATCAGGGTTGGTAGAGTGTTAGCCAATGAGGGAAAGCATCCAAGTACCAAGTTTGAGTCCATGTCTCGGACCTTAAAAAACAAGAAAAGAAAAGGAATAAAAATTCTGGAATTGTCGGGCGCCAGTTGCTCACACCTGTAATCCTTGCTACTTAGGCTGTGATTCTGAGAATCTAGGTTGGAAAGCCAGCCTGGGCTGGAAAGTCTACAAGACTCTTATCTCCATTTAACCACCAAAAAAATAGCCAGAAGTAGAGCTGTAGCTTAAGTGGTAGAGCATTAGCTTTGAGCACAAAAGCTCAGGGACAGCACCTAGACTCTTGAGTACAAGCCCCTGGACTGGCACAGAAAGGAAATAGTACAATAGGGAAAGGTGTGGTTTAAGTGGTAGAGCATCTGTGTGGCAACCATAGGCCCTTGAGTTCAAAGTCTAGTGCTTCCACTATCCCTCCAGAACCCTCCCAAAAAATACTAGAGCCCAGGCACTCAAAAGACAAAGCTGGCACCAGTTTTGGCACTGTAATCTTGGTTATCCAGAATGCTGAGATTTGAGGATTACTGTTCAAAGCCAACCCAGGCAGAAGCGTCCTAGAGATTCTGATTCTAATTAACCAACAAAATCCCATCCTGACTTAAGTGGAACAGCAGCAGCCATGAGCACAAAATCAAACAAATGTGCCAAATGAGATTGGGAGGTCCTGAGATCAAGCCTTCAAAATAAAAAGGTGGATGAGCCAGGCGCATGGTGGCTCCTGCTGGTAATCCTAGCTACTGAGGAGGCTAAGATCTGAGGATCGTGGTTCAAAACCAGCCAGGAAGAAAAGTCTCCATGAGACTCTTATCTCCAATTAACTACCAGAAAACTGGAAGTAGCACTGTGGCTCAAGTGTAGAGCACTCACCTTGCGCTGAAGAATGCAAGGACAGTGCCCAGGGCCAGAATTCAAGCCCTGCAACCCACAAAAAAAAAAAGGTGGAGGGAAATAGGCTCCCTAAAGTACAAAAATTCTAGATCAGGAACTTACATGATTGTATGTGACTCTCATACTTAGAAAGTGATATTTGTGTTTATTTTACTTTATTTTTCTAAGAGGAACCATTTAAATATAGATAGAGATAATGTAAGATAAACAATCTATATTGTATATATTTAACAGTTTTTAGACTCCATGTATCCTGAAAAAAACTTGTGTTCCATTTTGTTAATGCTTCCATTATTAAAGGAAGGGAGATGTAGATTTGATGTCTTCTTTTTAAAAGAAAATCTTTCTTTTTTTTCTTTCTTTCTTTTTTTTAATTACAGATGCATGAACTCTGTCTGGGCATAAATAAACTCTCCAGTCATCCTCACAACCTTTTGTGGTTGGTACAGCTAGTTCCTAACTGGACATCACGTGGAAGGTATAGGAAAATGAGATATGTATCAAGAAAAATTTTATAATGTTTAATGAAATGCTCTTAGATCATTTATTTAAATTCATAATTTTGTAACTTTAATTTTTTTGCTGAAATAAGATCTTGCTTCATAGCCCATATTGGCTTAGAACTTGCTATAACCCAAGTTAACCCCAAACACCTGGTCCTTCTGCTTCAGATTCTCAAATGCTAGGGTTACAAGTTTGCATCACCAAGTCAGTCCACTCATTTTTTTTATTTATTTTTTGTTCCAGTACTGAGGTTTGAACTCAGGGCCTGGGTACTGTCCCTGAACTTTTTTGCTTGAGCCATAGATCCACTTCAGGCTTTCAGGTTTTAATTGGAAATGAGTCTCACGGCAGGCTGGCTTCAAACCCCAATCTGCTGGTACACATTCTTATCAGTTCAAAGTTAGATCAAAGCCTTTTATTTCCTTAACTAACTATCTATCTATCTATCTATCTCTATATCTATCTCTATCTACCTACCTACCTACCTTTCTATCTGTCTGGATGGCCTGATTCTGATTCTTCAGATCGTATTATATTCTTTTGTTGTTGTTATTTATTTTAAAAAGTTAAAAATTTAAGCCAAGCACCATTGACTCACACCTTTAATCTTAGCTTCCCAGGAAGCTTTGATCTGAAGATCACTGTCCAAAGTCACCCTGGGCAGAAAAGTCCACAAGACTCTTTTTTTTTTTTTTTGGCAGTCATGGGGCTTGAACTCTGGGCTTGGGCGCTGTCACTTCCGGTTTTCTAGTGGCTTATGGGAGATAAGAATCTCACGGATTTTCCTGTCCAGGCTGGCTTTGAACCTCGATCCTCAGATCTCAGCCTCCTGAGTAGCTAGGATTACAGGTGTGAGCAACCGGGAGCCTGGCTTCCACAAGACTCTTATCTCCAGTAAACTACTCAGAAAAAGCTGTAAGTAGTACTATAGTATAGCTCAAGTGGTAGGCTAGTGAACAAAAGAAACTTGGACAAAAGAAACTCAGGGACAGAGCCTAGGCCCAGAAATTAAATTTGTATTTCACAGTTGTGAAGACTAGAAGTTTAGGATTAGAATATATTCTGATGAAGTATTTCTTCCAGGTTGGAGAGCCACCAGCGCCTGGCTCTTGACTTTTGAGTTTATATGATAACAAAACAATATAGGTGACACATACCCTAAAAATGAATTCATTTTCTTTCTTAAGCAGAGAACTTAATTGTTCCAGCAATAAAATAGAATGCTTTGTATTAGTAAATTAGCAAGATTTAAAAAAAAAAAAAAGGTAAGGGATCTTGCTAATTTACTTAGCTTTAAGCAATTCTGACATCATGTTCAATTTTCTTTTTTTTCTTCCAGTCCTGGGCTTGAACTCAGAGCCTGGGCACTGTCCATGAGCTTCTTTTGCTCAAGTCTAGCACTATACCACTTACGCCATAGTGCTCTTTCCAGCTTTTTCTGCTTATGTGGTACTGAGGAATTTAACCCAGGGCTTCATACATGCTAGGCAAACACACTAAATCACATTCCCAGCCCTGTACAAATATTTTACATAAAAATCTTTACCATTCTTCAATAGTTGGTTCTTATACAGCCTTTTTTTTTGGAACATTGCCTGTATTTCAAATTAGAACTAGAAGAACTTTTGGCTTGTTTATTTACATTCCAAGGAATATTAAGCTGAGTTCTAAATAGTTTCAAATTATAATTCCAGGCAACTGAGACAGTGTCTAAGTCTAGTGATTATTTCAAAGCTTTTGGAGGAGAAACCTGAAGATGTCCCTAATGCCAGTAATCTGCAGGTATGAATATACTTTTACTTTTAATAAATGGGAGAGGTAGTGAAATGTAGAGAAAATTGATAAATCCTAATCAAAACTTCTGAGGTTAAATCTCAGCTTTCAGCCATGAAATTCATGTAATTGTGTGTGTGTGTGTGTGCGTGTGCATGCGTGAGTGTGTGTGTGTGTGCGTGCGTGCTGAGGCTTGAACTCAGAGCCTGGTGCTTTTGCTCAGTTTTTTAACTTATATTGGTATTATACCACTTGGACCACATTTCAAATTCTGGCTTTTTGCTAGGTAATTGAAGATAATAGTCTTTTGGATTTGTCTACCAATACTAGCTTCTCATCTTTTTCATGGTACTTAACCACATCTAGTTTCTTCATCTGTGAAATGAAGATGGTAATCCTTTTACAATAAATATAAGATGGATGTGGATAGTCAGATAAATTAATGAATAAATTCTTGGAAAAGCCATGTTACTATATTGAATGAGATTATTAGTTCATTTTATCAAGTTTAGCAGTATTATGACATTAGAAATTCCAGAGCTATTACATTTATTAACTATCTTGTACCTATTTTGATGTTGAGTGGTCTTTTTAGATCATAGAACTTAGGTGTGATTTACCTCCAATACTTATTCAGTTTGAATATGTCACTATTAACATATGCTGTGGAAACTACTCGGAGATGTTGATAGGATTCAAAGATCTACTTTTAGTTTGTTTCAGAAAGTCAACATAGAACCTAATCTGTGTGCCTGTGTTGTTCTTATTTGAGTAGCAGTTGAGTACAAGATTCTCCATTATAGATCCTGGGAATAAATTAAAATATTAAAAGATTAGAGATCTGCCTTTGCATAATCTAGTGATTGTAACAAAATAAAATCACCACTGAGGGTTAACTAGTATAGTAAAAACAGTATTAGAAGTAAGTATAAGATGCTGCAGGACAAAAGATAAATGGGATGGCTTTTTTTTACTCCAGGTTGAAGTAGATTTGATTCTAGAAATACGAACCACCAAAGTAGCAAATTGCTCTCAATTCTTGCAGTGATATTCACTGCCTTTAAGAGATGAAGATAGGATTTCTGCTTTTTTTTCTTTTTTCTTTTTTGGCCAGTCCTGGGTCTTGAACTCAGGGCCTGGGCACTGTCCTTGAGTTTCTTTTGCTCAAGGCTTGCACTCTACCACTTGAGCCACAGCGCTATTTTGGGTTTTTCTGTTTATGTGGTACTGAGGAATGGAACCCATGGCTTCATGCATGCAAGGCAAGCACTCTACCACTAAACCACCTTGTCAGCCCTGCAATTTACTTCTTAGCTGTTCTCTATTCTTTTTTTGTGTGGCTAGTACCAGAGCTAGAACTTAGGCCTGAGCACTGTTGCTGATTGCTCAAGGCTAGTGCTCTACTACTTGTTTTTGTTGGTTTACTAGAATAAGAGTCTCACAGACTTTTCTGCCAGGGTTTATTTTGAACTACCATCCTCCTATCTTAGCCTCCTGAGAGGGTAGGGTTACAGGCATGAGCCAATAGACCCAGGACTCTTCTCTCTTCTCATTACCTTTTCCTTTTGAATGAGTAACTCCTCAGGCTTACTACTTTATATTCAAATTACACAGATTAGATGTGATTTTTTTTTTCTATCCACTTTTTTTTTTTTTGTATGTGTACTATATCGGAGCTTTAATTCAAGGCCTCAAACTTTTGCTGGGCTTTCTTTAGAACTTACACTGGTTCTACCACTTGAGCCACAACTCCAGCCTTACCCAGTTGCTTACAGTGCTTCTTTCCAGTGATTTACATCCACAAGGAAATTCAATTGTGTTTGTTTTCAACTAAATTTCAGAGAAAGCATTTCCTTGACCTTAGCTGAATGGTTTGGTCTGCTAAGCATTTATACTAAATCTTTAACTAAAAAACAATTGAAGGGGCTGGGAAGGTGGCTCAGTGGTAGAGCGCTTGCCTTGCATGCCTGAGGCCCTGAGTTCGATTCCTCAGCACCACGTAAGCAAAAAGGAAAAAAAAAAGCCGGAAGTGACACTGTGGCTCAAGTGGTAGAGCGCTAGCCTTGAGCTGAAGAGCTGAGGGACAGCACCCAGGCCCAGAGTTCAGGCCCCACGACCGGACCCCCCCCCAA